AAATTTATATTTTTTTCTTTCAAGACTTCAATTTTTATTAAAAAATGACTTTTCCGTAAATAGTTCTTTACTTTAAAAAAATTTTTAAGAGTGTAAATGAATTGACCCATAAAAAAAATGTCTGATAAGCCTGATGTGTCCACATATATTTTTTTTTATATCAGAAAATCCTTTCACGGGTATAAATGGATTTCACAAGTTGCGATCTAGACATATGTATATAAAATTGTTAAAATTAAATTATTTGATTGTTAATAGAAAAATAATAATATTTATTATTATTACTATTATTCTCTACAATTAGTTAAGTAATTAAAAATGGCTCAATTATTTAATTGTATGCAATCCATTAATTAAAATATATGCAGTATCATTAGATGAGATTATCGATGAAGCGAGAAAATGTTTCTAGTTAATTGCTAGGTAGATTAATTAATTAAAGAGAGAAGTTAATTAACTAAGATAAATTTCATTTTATGTAATTAAAATATTACTTATATTAATAAATAACACTTTTTTCTTCTTATTTTATGTTAAGGTAAGTACTCATCTGATGCGCAAGTGTTCCTCGTAGTTATTTACTACAAAATGAAAGTCTTTCTATTTATATTACATGAAGATATTACTTTCAGAAGAATACTGTTTATACATAGGTCTTATATCATAAGCATAAGTCATCGGTTATAAAAGAACCGTGACTTTCCCCATACAAAATGGAAACAAGATAAAGTGTCCTTTGCAGAGAAAGATGTAACTACTTATATGAATACATGTCTTCTTCAATGCGCAAAGAATTTATCAATAAAACCATAAAACATTGTCATTAACAAGAAACCATTCTCAAAGTTTAAAACAATTTTTTATCCTGCATCACATGTGGGCTAAGATAAAAACAGTGATTATATTTGGTGGAAAAAAAAAAGAAAAATAACCGTGTCGGTGGATCAACACCTTTTAATTTGCGGTGTTAAAATTAGAGCCTCATGAAACGGAATCCCAAAATTTGGCCGTACTGAGTCCATAATCTCCAGCAAATCTTCCTCTCTTACTCGGCTATTATACTTTTATAGCTTTTTTTTAAGCGTGCATGTATAGTAGAATAGAATTGGATAAAACGGGGATACTGAATAAATTATGTATGGTTTGCTTTTTTTATTTCAGGTTATCGTTTTATACAATTTTCAAGATTTTCGTAAAATTTTTAGTGTAAGTGATCAATTTTTAGCCACAAAATTTACTAATTTTACCAATATGTAACAAGAAAAATTTAATAATGTGCTCTAGACTAAATTTTTTATCTATAAAGTTAACTCTTTTAATGAATATTCTCACTTTTGATCAATTAGTTTTATGCCGATTTGAATTGTCTAGTAAGATGTTATTCGAGTCGATAAGAATAAAAATATTCCATATTCATTAAAGGTCTAGACAATTCATCTCTTTAAATTATCTATACCATCCAAATTTGAACATCAGTGAGTCGGAAGTATTATAAGTATCTATTCTAGTATTATATGAATTGTAGTTACATTAAAAGCAAAGAATAACTTTAAAAAAACATGGGGATCGGAACCAAGCCGGAAGTCGAACCCGAATCTCCCTAATAATATGTCTGGAGCTGACTTGAGTGACGTCTTACTATACAAACCGAAACTCTCATCAATTATTAAAATATTACAGATGTAGGAAGAAATATTTGAAATTTCCGACTGTCAAATTGCAAACCTCAAAAAACAACACATTTTTTTCTATAGTAAATATAATACGACTGGACAGTAAAAAAATTTGGAAAATCCAAATGAGCATGCCTTAAGCGCTCATATCATACATAAATTATTTAGATCATAACAAAAATTATTCGTTTTTAATTTGAATTTTCCCGCGAGTAGTATTATCCCCTCTGTAGGTCGAAATAAAGAAAAATTTTAACAGATGATAAAACAATTAGTAATTATACCATCATGTATGTATAGTTTCTGCTTGTTTATAGTTATTTCAATTCTTTTTATGAAAAATAATACATATGGCTGCCGAAATCACAGAAAAAGTCACCGAACTGACAATCGAAAAAAATCAACTGTATCGAAACGGAATTATTTTGACACGCAATTTTCACAAGGGTTTTGATAAGCTTCCTTAGGAATAAAATAAAAAAAAATTAAATCGTGAAAGTGATTTTTGACAAAGTTGTGGTGTTGTCAAGCCCATAGCTCCCGTGAATACCACGCTTTTATTCATTTAATTCATCAGAAAAACGGGTTTTTTCTGAAAAATCTTATTTAATCGATAACAAAATTTTTTTAATGTGTTCTATAGTTACTATTATTTATTTTAATATGCTTTTTATCCATAATTTTTTTCGTTTAAATTATGAAAATCACATTTTAATCGAAATCACGATTTTTAGGCGAGAGTAGAGCATACCTGCGCGCTTCGCGCTTAAGGCATGCAAAATTGTTTGTATTATCACAAATTGTGTCAAAATTTTTTATAGTGAAAAGTAAATACCCACGAATGTTTACTTGCGAATAAACGTCGTCAATGTGTAAATTGAATTTTATATGAAGTGTCAAACATGGTTTATCAATAAATTTCCAGATAATTTTCGTTAAATAAATAACCAGAGTACTAAACAATCTCGTAAATAGCAAAATACCCAAACATTTTAAAAATATTCAACCGCATATATTCTTATAAATTGAGGAATAATTTAAGATATTTCCAGCGAAATTTATCGACATAGTAAAGATTCTTGATTTTATTTATGCAAATTAAAATTACAAATTGTTGACATTGTTCTACTTTACGATCGGCCTTGGATGATGAAGATGAAGCTGAAGGAAATATCTAACTCACTTTACCTGTTCACACATGTATTTATGCAAAATTCTTGCTCGTATTCCCTGATATATGCTCCCATCGAATCGAGCAAAGCCGATAAACTCTACACGTGATAATTTATTATTTTAAAATATGAGTAAGTGTAGTATGAATTCATGTATTTTATTCCGCATGTATGTATTAGAATACTCTTCAATATCGGGTACATGTTAATCAAACATAAAACATTGCTTTAAAAATTGCCATTTTTATGTTAAAATTTAAAAATTTTAGAGGAATTATATTTGAAAATTCATTATCCTTTAATGAATTTATTTTACATCGGTAAATTTACTGTGTTAGATTATACACCGAAGTATTTACATACCGGCAAAGCGAAAAAAAAAATAGGAAAACAACTGTGAGATAGTTAGTAAGAGCAAATAGCAAATATGCATAGAGAAAGTGGGAGAAATAAGAATAAGAGGGTGTTGGTTTAGTTATCTTTTAAGGCACTCCTGGTAGAGTCTATACTAAGTAAGTAGAGTGTGCTGGTAGAGTAGTTGTTACAATATTGTTATTGTTGTTGTTATTGTTATAATACAATGGAATTTAGGAATTTTACAATAGTAGTACCGGTATGTCTAGTTCGGGCAAGAACTTAAACTGGGTGGACGAGATTTATGATATCGATAATAAGCATACCGCCAGCACAAGGAATAACTCGATTGCGAATCGCGTGAAATCTCGATTTATCGACGTTTAATATACAGTATTTGATTTATATTTTAAGTATTACCCATTTAAAACTTATAATCTCCATTTGATTAATGATTTGCAAAGTTTACTATCAAAATTTAATAGTTATTTTAATACGTATTTATATTATTCAAAGCCAGATATAATCCCCACAGAGATTTTATTCTTTTTTCAAATATAAATTTAAATTATTATCAGTATCAGCTGATACATAACATAAATGATAGAAAGTATTATCCGTCAAAAAAATTGTTCCCGCTACAAGACTAGTCCCGTGTAGTATAGAAGCGACAAGAGCATGTTACTGAGCTAAATTATTAATCGCTACATGCTGCGAATTTGATGCTTAAATTATTGTCATGGGAAATATTTTATAGTGTTCAACTTTGTAACATATGGTGTGGTAGCTAGTTTCAGAATTATTTATAATTATAATTTTGTTCGTAATTACCGTTAATTTTAGATAAAAAACTAACAGATGTGATCAATTAGAAATTAGTTTATTTTATTGTAGAGAGTTTAAACAATACAGCAAAGTATTGTGACTACATTGTATATCCTGAAACAAATATATACTAACAATTACTATCGAATACTATTGCATTGAATAATAAATACTGCAGGAATGATGATGAAGACGATATATCAATAAAATAAATCTTCAAGGCTGTAATTTATCAGAATTTATGAGACAAATATTATTGTTAACGATAAGAATTATTGTCATACGGTACAGGAGTCCTTTTACTTCTGCTGATATTTATGCTGTATTGTAGTATTTATATTTATTATTCGTATCTCAGATGTTTAAATGAGCTCTTGATTATAAAATATATAATTTTTTGCTTAATTTCGAATTATATTAAGTATCAATACTTTTTTAGAGATGTAAATAAAGTGCTTATTACTCTCGCTTTTCGTCTCCACCATACATCGAAAATTATTACAGGTCTGCGCAATAGATTAAAAAGTTTGAAACATTGAATAAAACTAATTTCTAGGTTAGCCTTTGCGGGTTTATGACTGTAAAGGTGTTCCAAAAGGTATCAGACAGAATTTTAATTTCAAATTTTCACAACGCGCGTATTCAATTATCACCGAAATTAGCTGGTCATTTTTGGATCACAGTTCGATCCAATTTATTTATTTATTTATTTACCAAAATTTTAGACCCTGAAGCCTTAGCTCCCTAAAGGCCTTACATATAAATTAATACATAGTAATAATAAAAGTTGTCAACAGTAATGGAAATGATAATAATACAATAAGAATAAGTAAGCAACGTTGTCTCAAAGCAAAGCAAAGTCCATCTAGTAATTTAGTTAAGTTACCAATTAATGACTCTAGTTTATAAAACAAAAGAAAGAAAAAAAAAATATAAATTTTAATAATTAGTAATTTGGACAGTTATGTAGTGACAATTATTTATCATCTTTATCTACATAAAATTTGTAACACTTTGATCGAAATTCATTGTAATCAGTAATCGTCACAATTTCTTCCGGTAACTGGTTCCACACCCTAACTGCCGTGACAATAAACAAGTTATCAAATGTTGCAGTTCGAGCAAATGGCAAACTCAACACATCAGTTTGTCTGATAGAGCGTACTCGAACTGAAGTCAACAGACTGAAGTCTTGCAGCAATTGTAAAAATTGATGGAAAATTTATTTTCTTTTTTATTGAAGATGAAGTATGATATAAGGGCAATTTTTTTAATTTTTTCTCATATATTTAATTGATTTATCTAATTTTATTTCGAAATTAATATGATCGTAATATGACAGTGGATAGTGTAAAAAATTTTACACAAACTTTCAAAAATTTCACCTTCTGTTCAGTTACATTGGAAGACCTTCACATGACCAAAATATCGTTCGATAATGACGTATAACATATGTTTAAACTTCAAGTTGGAGCAATTCGCTACTGTGCCTCTGAATTTAATTTCATTAAGCACTTAAATTTAATTTAAGCATTTTCACTTCGATTAAAGCAAGTTTTGGAATAAAATAATACAGTAGCAGCTCAAATCGTTTCAAGTTTCAGACCCACAACCGAAAAAATTGAAAAAAAAAAAAAAATGAACATAAAAGGAAAAAAAACAATTTAATATATCGACAAGGTGGATGATTAGGACGTAGTTGATCGAGACGTCTCTGGTGGTCGTATTACTCTTTATCAAGACAGAGTTTGCGAGACAGAGTGAACGAGACAAGGATAGACATGCCCGGGGTGTATTACCCTTGCGTTCTGTTCACGACCTCCTGATGCTGATGGATACTATGGACCCTGTAATTATAAGGGACCGGTTTCTTCTGTTGGTTGCTGGTACCACCTACGGTATAGACCCGAGGGAACGAAATCTCCCCGAGAATAATTTTATGGAGCATCACTACCACCACTACCCTCTTTCTCCTTCAGCTTATTTTATCCTTACCCACCAGCACCTTATTTTATTATTTTTACTCTCGATCGTCATCACTCTCTCTTTCTTGATCGTTTTGCGTTCACAAAATATCCATATACGCTCGATTTTACATGCGTTGCCGGCAAATCCCCTCAGGCACAAGATGAAAGAAAGCCAGTGAGACAGGGTTCGAGTGAGAGACGAGAGACACGTACACAAGAGAAATGAATATCTCATTATTCATGAGAAGAGTAATGATGATGATGGATCGAATGACCTGAGTATATGTATGTATAAATATATGCAATCGTTACTTTTTAATTTCTCTTATCGTACTCATATCTTATACTCTTTAAGTATCTTTATTCCAACATTAGTTTTATTTAAATGCCAAAGCTAAAAAATAATAAACTCAAATTTATTTTATTATTTAAACCTCTAGTTATCGTTACTTATTGATAATTAATAATCATTTATTAAATGATAATGCAAATCTTCAAACACTGATTTTAGATTTTTTTATCCTCATTAATTTTATGCTAACTATAATTTAATGAAAGTTTAATTTTATCTTTACTTTGTTTTTTTTTTCTTTTCAAGTGTGATTTAAAACAAATTAATCATTCCAATCAACTGTTATAAATTCACAACTTGTCAAGAAGATTAAATACACGTTATCGTTAAAAGTTTTAATAATAACAGTCTACTCTATAAAATTAGCTATAAAAATTATCTGCAACAAAAACTCGTTAAATAAGAATTATAATCACGATCCAAATGTGTTGTGTCAATTATTTTTAAACTTTATTTAACTTTAAGGATAAATTATAATCAAGTTGTCAAAATTTGTATCTTGTAGATCAAAATATTTCATTAATTACAATTTAGTATTAATATTAACGATTGGAGATTTTTTTATGTCCACTCTGTGTAATAATATATAGACTACTGTTTGGTAATATTTCATGTGCAAGTACTTTGTCAAATTTGAACGATGTTAAGGTGTACGATTTTCTTTATTTTGTCAAATTATTAAATTTATTTCGAGTTAAAAACTTAACTGAGGATCGTAAAAGCTAAAACAGCAATGTCTGAAGATATAATGCAGGTTCACACCGTACTTGGTGCAAATACTGCCGTGTCTCTGGACATTAAATTGATCAGAAAAAATTAAATTTAAAAAAATAATTTACAAGTTTGATAATAATTTCGATAACTATTAACAAAAATTACTCAATACTTTTACAAAATACTGGTGAAACATTCGACTTACATGAAAGAAGATTAAATAAACAGCCATAAAAGTAATCTTAGAAAAGTTTTACTTCACATCCCGCAAAAAATTTATTAACATATTTTTCATACCTCTAACATAAAAGATAAAGCATAAGTATATAGAATCACTAGTTTAGTGAATATGCGTACATAATATTCAGTTGTTGTAATATGGATGTGTAATCGCGTTCAATTGAGATGGTAAAATGATGACACGATAGAGTGAAGGCGTGCAAATATTTGTCGGCCACCTCGACGAGCATTATCAAGATCTACAGATGCAGATCTTCGATCTCAAGGCTAAATCTCCTTTTATGCATATGTATACATACATATACTTAGACATATTGTGGATGTTATGCATGTGTAGATCCATACTAGATCAAATCAGAATTGTACGGTGAAATGCGAATGAGAATCTGAGTACGTTGAATCTATTTCTATTCTTGGTATAACGTGGGCGAGTTCTATCGTTATCTTTAAGATTCAAGTCTTGACATAAATATCTGCCTACGTATCATCATACTAAATTAAACATAGTTTAGTAAATGACCATTTACATTTATTAAATAAATTACTTGCACATTTATGCGAGAAATATCACAATTTCCTCTCGAATGTAACAATTTGAATAAATCAAGCGAAGCTGAGTAAAAATCGGATAAAAAAAAAAGAAAAAAGAGGGATAGGGCAGGGTGTAAGATTGAAAACCAAAGAACAGACAATATATCTTGGCACAGGTCAGCTGACAGTGGATGTCGCTGGAATGAGTAGAGGGACTGCTACAAGCAATTTGTATTCTCTTGAGAGTCACGCGCGGATACTACATACTGTACTCAACTATGCTGAGGATGGTTGCGTGATCAGATACCTCGGTGTCATCTAGTCAAGTCAAGTCAAGTCAGTTAGAGAGTCTTTGAGATGTCTCCACATTGATCAGAGAAACGAGACTAAGGACTGCGGCAATGCGTTTGACTTTCGCACTTTATTACGCAGCGGTAGGTCCATCAATGCTATCTTTTATGTGTCAAATCTTCAATCCTTATTTTATCATCACGCTTTCCATTCATTCAACACATTATTCATAAGACTTGCTGAAATAAAAAGTCGAACAGTATTTTCGAGAGAAAATTTTCTGATTTGGCGTGATGTATTCATATAAAATATTTTATGGTTTGATATGAAAATTGGCCACATCAGGACATATTTAACTTGATATGGCTTGGAGACGTATATTGAAAAAAAATAAATAAATAAATAAAAATAAAGATTCAAGGGAAAAAATCTTGAACCAAAAAAATCATTTTGAAGAATTTCATCGTCTTAAATTAAAACGAAAAATTTTTAAATCAAATAAAATTTCTTGGTTTAAGAACTCGGCTGTCCAATTTCAAAACACAGTAACTAACATTTAAAAATTTTTTTCAATTTTTCTTATTAAAAAAAAGTTTGCCCGCCAAATTGATGACTAATTTGATTTATGAACAGAAAATACTTGGATATAAATATTTTTAAGAAAAATTCTTGAAATTAAGGTCTAAAAGTTATAAAAAATGCAGCAATACTAAAGAACAATCAGGTATAAAAATTTTGCAGTAACTCTGTTTTAAAATTGGACAGCCGAATTTTTCTACTTGATTTAAACAATTGAACTTTTCAAAATGATTTTTTGGTCCAAGATTTTTGCTCTTAAATCAGATTGATTTTTTTATCAGTGCATAACCGCTGAATTCTCTACTTACAATAAAGTTAACTTAGAAGTGTTATTTTAAAATAAAAATAATTTTTTTATTCTCTTTAGAAATTTAGGTTTTGGTTTAATCAACTATAAAACTTATAAATAGTCATACATAAAAATTGGCCGTATCAAAAAATTTTTGCAAGGGTTGGTCTACCAAAAAATTCAATGGGAAAAGACAACAGAAGAAAGATTCACTAACATTAATAATATTTTTTTTAAGGTTCATATATGATATATGAACCTTAATAGTTATAACTTCTCAAAGAAATTCAAAATAGCTAATTCGCATCATCTGCAAAGCAAAAATTGAGTCTTGAACCAAAAATAAAGATTAGTATTTGCGATGAAAACTAATCAATATGGATAGAAGCCCTCTCGAAATAACAGGAGATTAACTTCCACTTTCGTGACCCCGAGTAATTTACATTGCAAAGTCTGTTGGTTTTTTTACCCCCGAGCTTGCGAGAACGACCACTGCTAGTGACATCTATCATGGAGTGGTGAAGTAGCTAATCGATGGGGACATGTTGCTGTCAATCGCAAGATAAGTTTTTCAATTTAATTATATAGTTTATGAAGATGAATAATTTTAAAATGTGAGAGAATCCCGGTATTGCGTGACTGCGTGTCGTACGACTTGAGGCTCAGAAAACTATGGGAGATGGATGAAAAAAATAAAAGATACACTGCCAGAGATGAAGCTTAAAGTAAATATAATTGAAAAAATAACTTTGAGTGTAAAAAAAATATTAAACAAGGGAAATAATAGGCCGGGGATTACATCAATCGTTCTTACCGTCGTTTGCCTGGACCTTACCATATAAGTCTGCGTGACTTTGTATCGTTTGAAAACGCTGTTAACTTACTGAATGGAACGCTAGAAATTTACGAGCTCGTAACTTTATAGTTTAATAAAGATCTTTACGAATCTCGAAATGTTAAAAAGTAGTTCTTTTCTTAGACTTGTGATTTTTGTACCTTTTTTTAACCAGAAATCTTTAAAAATATATGGTTAATGTTACTCATTCAGCAGAATAAATTAGTTCAAATATTCAATAATAGTTACAATAAAAAAATTATTCCAGAATTGAATCGTAGAGATTTTGAATCGATGTCTGTAAGTAGAAGATTCTGTCATAATTAGGGCTGTTTGAATCTTATTTCGAATATAAGCAAGAGTGAGGATCTTGAACTTATAATATTACGTTCGACATCTGGTTGAAAATGTATCCATACCCTCAGACAATTAACGTTAAGTCTACAATAATTTTATTTTTAAACTATCATAAAAACTATGAAAATTTTTATACTCTGTAAGATTTTTCACTAATTTTTTGAAAATGTCGACAGTTATTTTCAAAGAGTAAACAATGAGCTATTTTTAATGTTTTAATATTTTTATGTTGAAAATTGTAATAATCAAGTAAATTGTAAAAAATTTTAATACCTTACCTTTAATTTATAAATTATACAGCGCAATTTTTTTGTATCATATTATAATTTAAATATTTAATGTTATTAGTAAGTATTTCTAGTATTTCGCGTAAAAGTGCATAACATTAAAGTATTTTTTTAATGTATGCATTTGCATTAAAATTGAATAAATAAATAAATAAAAATAAATGTAGAGGCAGAGATAAACAATTATTTTTTAAAATTTTCTACTTGTGCAAAAAGAATTAAAAAATTATTGTACAACTATGTCAGTTACTATCAATATGACAATAAAAGAATATTTAAAATTCGAATTTTAAAAGGAATTAAAAAACGGATTCAGTCCGAAAATTTATTACAGTGTAAATTGTTGTAGAAGTTGATAACTAAATAAAAAGAGTATTTCTCATGGATTCAAACCTTCACACGCATTGTGAACATTTAAAAAAAAACCCCTTCAATCTAGCACTGGTCTTCATCACATAATAAAATATTAGCATTAAAAATAACACGATTTTCATAAATAATTCCAG